AAATTAGGTTGATGATTTCCCATTTTGCCTTTTAAGTATAGTCTTAATTCACGGTATTTTTCTCTATGCTTTCAATATTATGTATTCTTCATGGAAAAGAGAAGAATTCCTTTTTAATCTAATTAAAATTGACCAAAATACTCGACTTTGAGTTAAAAAGGGAAAAGATTGTAGTACACAATACCAACAAAATAGCATAGGACAAAGACTTTTTGGAACCAAAAAAAAAAAGTAAAGAAAATATGAATAGAGTTTGTGGCAGACGAAAAAAACAATTGATTAGGCCAAGAAAAAGAGAGAATAGAACAGGAAAATTACATGTAATACTAACATTCTACGTTAAACCTGAATTGTAGCACAACCAAGAAAACAAGGAAAACTTTCTTCCACCAATATTTTGGGATCATTTCACATCCTCAAATTCTCAAACAGAAAACTACCAATAATGTCATTCATTTCACTATAAATAGATGCTTTCATTTTTGCAAAATCTCAAGCCAAAGGGGATCAACAGCGTCTTAAATAATTAACCCCAAAAAATCTTTTTAAGTTCAAATAAAAGAGATAAAAATAATGGGGGTGAAGAAACTAGCTATTGCTAGTGTTGCTTCAATTCTTCTAGTGGCTTGTGTGGTGGCAGCAGCCATCTCATTTACCAAGAGGAATGAAGATAATTCATCCAATTCTACTGATTCTCATCTTTCAACTTCTACCAAGTCTGTCCAAGCTATTTGTCAACCCACTGATTACAAAGAAACTTGTGAAAAAAGTCTTGCCAATGCTAAAAACATCAACGATCCAAAAGAACTCATTAAAGTGGCGTTTAACGCCACAATCAACGATCTCTCTGACGTTATAAAAAATTCCGCTTCGTTGATTGATGAAGCTAAAAAAGATCCAAGGACAAAAGAAGCATTACAAACGTGCCAAGGTCTTCTTGATGTTGCAATTGATGATCTTACGAGGTCTTTTGAAAAATTTGACAAATTTGAGGTCAGTAAAATCAAGGATTATACCGATGACCTAAAAACGTGGCTCAGTAGCGCCATTACTTATCAAGAAACATGTTTGGATGCTTTTGAGAACACGACTGGTGATACTGGTGAGAAAATGAAAAAACTCTTGAAAAATGCAGGAGAACTCACGAGCAATGGTTTAGCTATGGTTTCGAGTTTTGGTGAAATTGTAGCCAACTTGAATATCCCTGGTGTAAACCGAAGATTATTAGACACCCATGAAAGGATGCTCTCCGATTCCCTTACGCCAAATGTTGTAGTTGCAATTGATGGAAGTGGACAATATAAGAGTATAAATGAGGCACTTAATGCTGTGCCTAAAACGAATACTCAAAAATATGTCATTTTTATTAAGGCTGGTGTATACAATGAGCATGTTGAAATTCCAAGGAAAATGAACAACATTGTATTTATTGGTGAAGGCCCAACCAAGACTAAAATTACTGGTAGCTTGAACTATGCTGATGGCACTGGCACTTTTAAAACCGCCACATTTGGTAAGTCTGTTTCGTTCATATTACTCCCTCTATTTCAATTTATATGAAACATTTTCCTTTCAAAACGCTCTAAAAAGTTTAGCATTGTCCCCACATCCGGCCACAAAGTTTCACATTTTCTTCAAATGTTAGTAAACATGATGTATGAGTCAAACTACAACAACAACAACAATCAAGTGTAATCCCATAAGTGGGGTCTGGGGAGGATAGGGTGAATGCAGTCTTACCCCACCCAGGAAGGGCATAGAGACTGTACGCATGAGTCAAACGAACATATTGAATTCTTTATTCTGTCAAATACCATCACATAAAAAGTTTAACATTGTTCCTACACCTGGTCACAAAATTTCACATTGTCTTCAAATGTTTGTAAATATGATGTACATGTAGGTCAAATTAAGTATTGAACTCTGTGTTCAATCCATCATATAAGACAGGACGATAAGGACAGATATTTGTTCATGCTTGACATTTTCTATTTCATGCAGCTGTCAATGGAGATTATTTCATGGCTAAAGATATCGGATTCGAGAACACAGCAGGACCAATGAAGCACCAAGCCGTAGCACTTCGTGTCTCAGGAGACATGGCCATTTTCCACAACTGCCAAATCGATGGTTATCAAGACACACTATACGTCCACTCCTATCGCCAATTCTTCCGCGATTGCACCATTACAGGAACCATAGATTTCATCTTTGGTGATGCTGCAGCCGTGTTCCAAAACTGCAAAATGATAGTAAGAAGACCAATGGATAAGCAAGGTTGCATGGTAACAGCACAAGGTAGAAAAGATCATCGCGGAGTTGGTGGAATAGTCCTGCAAAATTGTCAAATTCAGGCCGAACAAGCATTTCTTGCTGCTCAACCACCAATTAAAGCATATTTAGGACGACCATGGAAAGAATTTTCAAGAACAATAATTATGCAATCTGAAATTGATGGGTTTATTGCACCAGAAGGATGGTCACCTTGGAATGGTACTTTTGCACTTGATACTTTGTTTTATGCAGAATATCAAAATAGAGGTCCAGGATCAATTACATATAGTAGGGTTAATTGGAAAGGTTACCAAAAGACAATTGCACCTCAGGTTGCTGCACAATTTACTCCTGGTGTGTTTATTACGGGTGATGAATGGGTTAAGTTGAGTGGTGTTCCATATGAACCTGGCATGATTAGGGTTTAATTTAATTCTATCTTGGATATGACTTGTAATATTTATGAAAAATTTCTTCTCCAATAAATTATTCATTTTATTGGACTATTGGACTATTTTTTTAGTAGAGTTTTAACTTTTATATATGTTCTTTTACACTATCATATTACCTAAAATATTAATGCGGGTAAAAGTTCATAAATTGCAATTTTGGTAGACATATCGACAAACTTCCGAAAAGAAAAGGAAAAAAAGTTAACTTATAGGCAAACTTTTGAAACTTCTGCCTCACTTTGATTTTGAACTCAGTTACAATTATTATTGTAAAATTAACTTGAGGTCACTATAAAAATCATAATTTGGATCCACCTAGCTCGCCCTAATTCTAAATCCAATTATTGTTTAAAGATAGAAGCTTTTAAATTTGGACGGCAAAAACTTCAGAATCTAGGGAAATTGGGTCATGAAAATTAATAAGTTTAGTTCCAGTAATGGATAGTGCTATTAATTCTCCCAACATATGAGCAACAAAAATGACTGAAACAAGCAACAATGTAGATGATAAGTGGGGTTAAGTTCATATGGGAACTAGTTGTACCAATAAAATCACAAAATTCATTGAATTAGAGTCTCTTAAGAAAGGACAAAAACTAATTAATATCAAGTTTACACCCTTAGAATTTAAAAAACTCCTTCCCTCTTATCTTCTTGTCTATCTTTTGATCGGATCGTCTCGCTTATTTCTAGCCTAGCTTCTTTATTAAGAGTCCTTTAAAAAGCTAAGCTCCTTCACATATTAAAATTCGCTTAACTTCATACCTCTAAACGCACGTGACTATTATGGAATAGTCACTTCTCGCTTTCCTTTTAGACTGAAAAAGGAAAACAGAAAAATAGTCAAATTTCCAGCAAACATGTCATCACCTAAGTTCTGGCTTTTATATCATTTTCTCTTTAACTCAATCACGTGAATGATCCACATATGGAAATTACAGTGAAGCTTTTGTAAGTTAACTACAAAAAGCTCTGCAATTGTCTCTCGTGAAAGTCCTCGTCAAGGAACCCAAAAACATTCAAAAATCCAATCATCCAACCACTTCCCTATATTATTATTTTTGTTTTGGCCTCTCTAATCATTTATAAGGACCATATATTTATTTTGTGCATTATTACAAATCATGTGAACCTTTGGCAGATGAGGCAGAGGCGGATCTAGGATTATAAGAACATGGGTGCACCACTAAAAAAATAAGAAAAAAAGAATTTAGCAGGAATTGAACCCTCTTCCTTTGGTTAATTAAATAACTCAACATTTATCAGGTGTACAATTTAGCCTTTTTGGAATGCAGGAGCCATCAAATAATATTAGATCAGTTCTAGAAAATATGTTCATAAGATTACATAGTTTGATAGAAAGATCATGGGTTTCATGTGCACCGTAGTTTGGGTGTAAATCCGCCCCTGAGATGAGGAACACCATTTCATACTCTTTGTATTACACAAGAAGAAAAATAAGAAAAAAGAACATTCATCTTTTTTTTCCTTCTTCTATTGTATTATGCAAATGTTAAAATGGATATACAGTTATATAAGATTAAATACGACCACATTCCATAGAAAATGCAAGTAGCACACATAAAGGCAGATAAAATAGCATAATGTCGTTTGAAATGATCTAATCATCTCTTGCTTCGACCTCCAGATTCACTAGTTTATAGCTGAAATTATAGTTATTGAATATGTTAAAATGGGACGATGTAGACCTAAGATCATGTGCAAAGAAATTGTCTTGAAAGATTTTTTTTTTTTGGGTAATGTCTTGGAAAATTACTATCTCTTAGAAACCATCTGACTTTAGCTAAAAATATGTTGGATGAAAGAAAAAAGTCCATTTAAGTGAAATAAACTAGTTGATGTTGAGTTTTAATCATCCTAGTCTTTAAGCTAGCGTTTGGCCATAGATCCCAAATTTATTTTGGAAAATCTGATTTGGGTGAAGTTTGATTTGAAGATGAAAATGTGTTTGGACATACGTTTTCAAAACATATTTTCCAACTTTATTTTGAAAAAACATGTATATAATTCCCAAGTTTTGGAATTTTGGCCCAAAATCAGCTCAATAGCTAATTTTGGGATTTGAGATTTGGCCAAAATGTGGGCAAAATTTATGGCCAAACATAAATTTTAAAAATAAATCCCAAATTTATTTTGGCTAAACGGCCTAATAATCTTATATTTTGAAAAACAAAAAGAAAGCCAAATGGACAAGAGCATTAACTAGAGTTGGCAAATACCAACGGACACTAAAGCGCCCAAAGGCGCGCTTAATTCATTTATATTCCACTTTTGACTTAGCTTTTCCTCATCTTTTCTTCAGCTTCCTTTCAGCTCTTCACTTTCCCCTTCCATTCTACAAACTTAAAAAACCTTTTCCTTCTCAAAGAGGAAAACAATATAAATCAATGTCAAACATGTCCTCCATTTTCCCCGTTGCAGTACCTCAACATTTCACTGGCAATGGCTTTGATCCTCGAATCGATTATTTTCAGGTAAATACCCTATCTTCGTCTGTAACTTTTAACGTAAACTACTGGTCTGAGTTCAAGATCAGTAGTACGAATAACGAATCAACGTTTCAACCAAAAAAAAAAAAAAAAAAAAACGAAACAACGTCTCAATTCCAAGTTAGTTGAGATTGATCAGGGCGAAGCCACGTGGACGCAAGGAGATTTAATTGAATTGTTTTATGAAAATTCATATAAATTGATGAATTCGTTTAACACAAAGGAACATTTTAATTTAGGTCACAGGTATGAATTCTATTTATGACTGTAAACATATGAATTTCCTTGAATCAAAATCAAAGTCAAGTTTAACATATTCTATATTCTATTGGGAAGAATCAGAAGAATATTATAGATATTATATTGTATCTTTTATTGTGTCTCCAAATCAAATACTTCATTTTGTTACGTTATTTCCTGTACTGATTATTTTTCCTAAACGCGAAAGTTTGTTGTTACAGTACCATTATTGCTTCATTTATTTTCTACTCTCTTTAACATAATTCTAACTAGTGATATTTATTGGTATTTCATTGGAACCGTTTTATTCCAATATTCAATATTTTGGGATAGTAATACCATTTATGAATGTGACCAAAAAACAGATTTTGCCTTCAAAAAACATCAAGAAAAATAGTCACCGGAAAAAATGGTGGAGATATGCTCTGTTCTTCTTCAAGTGGAATAAACGGAAGCCTTTAAATGAAAGTCCTAAATACAGCAATTTTCACCATCGGAATGTTGTATTAAGTGGATCAATTTCTGGGCCGGTGTACATTACAGAAAGTAGAAATGGGTCAAACACGCCTCGCCGGAAAACCCGCCGGCCGTTCTCCGGTTCACTGGCCGGAAGTTTGATTCCGAGCAAGAAAGGTGATTTGGAGATACCATACGTTAATCTTAAGGAGTTTAACTTGGACCGGCAGCAGACAACCTCAGCTACTCCCATCTACTTAGTCACATAATGAAAGTATTTCAAATTTGAAATACTAACTACTGTAAATTACTCATGTAATTTCCATTTTATGCGGCATATTGAAGGAGTTAAAAGGTTTCTTTAATCTCGATTTTTAAATATTCTTGATTAAGTATGGTGACTTGTAATATTTTTTAGGGATAATTTCACATAAGTACACTTGGGGAAAGCACTTTTCAGCCGCCTAACCCAAAAATACAGTTTTCATGCGGTAATCCCACAAATAATTTCAGCGCCTAACCCACAACTTCATCAACTACACCCAAAATCACGCCTAAATCAGATTTCACTTTTTTCTTTCATTTTTATCTTTACCCTTTTTCCATTTTCATTCTTATTTATTTTTTACTTCCCTCTGTATAGTAAACAATATCAGCAAGTTGAAGTAAAAAATAAAAATATATTCATCCTTAGAGTCTATAATTTTAGTTTTATATTTTTTTTGTAAAATTTAAAGTTTTGCAAGGGAAATTCTTATTTCACTGGAAAAAACAAAAATTTACATTATTAAACACCTTATATACATTGTTATACACACAAATATAATCATGTATAATTATGTATAATCTTGTATAATTGTGTATAATCATGTATAATTCTGTATAACTATGAGAATACCCACAAATATACATGGTTATACATGATTATACAAAGTATATATATGTATATACAACATATACATCATTCTTCCTCCCTTCAGAAGTTATTTAAAGTGAGAAGAAGAAGAAGAAAGGCTATGCGTTGGGATCGTTTCAGACTATGCTGTTAACATATGCTGGTGGTGTTGTCTTTACTGCCCTTGTCACCATCCCCAACTGGCCCGTCTATAATCGCAATCCTCTCAGTTGGTTGGACTCAAGTGAAGCTGAAAAACATCCCAAACCACTAGCTGCTAACTTCAGTTCAAAGAAAAGAAAAAGACTACAAAAGATAGATCCTGTGTGGATTGTTCAACAAAATTATTTTGTGGAAGAGGAAGATAGTGAACGGAGCAAGGAAATCTGAAGAAGAATTCGACTATTTTGCCGGAGAGAGAGAAAGAGGCAGAGAAAGAGCAAGAGATTGAAAATGAAAGAGAAAGTGGGGTGGGGAGAAAGTCTGAAAAAGAGTGTGGGCGGCGAGGGCTAATCAGTGAAAAAAAAATTTCAACAATATAGAACTGGGCCATACCGGGTAAGAAGGGAAAATATGGGCCGTATTTTGTTAGGATAGTGGGCCAAGTGACATAGAGTGTAATTTCTTCTATTTTTTATGCACGTAATTTTTAAATATATAATTTATTTAGTATATTTTTTGAAAAATCTGTATTCAAATTCACATTTAAAATCAAGCTAGCCTCACCCTCATACTTTCAAGGAGATCAAACAAAGTCATTTATGACGGTTCAACATTGTCAACTAAACTTTTGGTCCATTCTCGTGATGAGACAATGTTCAGTACCAAGGATAAAGCATTAAGGCTTTTTAATGATTTCTAAATTTGATACGGGGTATATCAAATAGTGTATCTACGGGATGACACGTTTAGGAATCACCTATGTAAGTGTGAAGTGTTAGCCGCTTCAAGGAGAACATTGTAAGGCCGGTTCTCTACGCACTTATGAAACCAGGCGGTGTTCATGGCTGAAACGAACACAACAATGAGAACCAAAGACGGTTAAGGGTTGGTTGTGTGACTTATGGTTGTCTAGGTATACACTAAAGTTCGACGGTTCAAAGATATCAAATCTACCGATTGATCGAGTATATCCGACATAAGTTCACTACGGAATGTTCAAAGGGAAACCTACTTATCCAGATGCAATTAATCCTTTCTTGCGAATCACACATTTCATGCATACTTCCGTGATATAGCCATTCCCCATTCATGTGGGGGATTGTTGGGTTTTGGATGTATTTAATTAATATATTAAATACTTAAAAGAGGGTGAATGGAAAATGGAGGGAAATGAAATTTTTGAGTGAAATTTTAAGTTTCCCCCCTTGACAAATGGGCATTGTCCCATATTGGAAGAGGAAGAGGTTTTTATGGGTATATAAGCAATTGCTCTTCTTCTAGCTCTTAAAGAGTTGAGAAGAAGGCAAGCCTCGCGCCGTCGTCGTCGTCGCTCGCTCGGCTCGGCTTCGGCTTCGGCTTCGGATTCGGATTCGGATATTAAATCCAATCCGTTTTTCTGTTTTGGTAACAGAAAAGTAACTACCCTCTTCAATCTTCCCTCTTTATTGTTGAGTAAATGGCCATTTATGTAATGGCATTTATGCTATGGGCATTTTGCATAAACAGCCATTCTGAAGAGTTGCACCTCTTCATATTTCAGCCCAACTTTGGCTATAAATACAACACTATTCTGCTCAGAATTTCACTACGATTTTTTGAGTTTTCTCTCCTTCTTCTGCATACTTTTAGCATCAAACAAAGTAAAAAAGTAAGTGTGATTTGCTACCGAACTTTGTGTTCGCTGAAACACTGGGGTTTGAAGTACCACTACACCAGTGTGTAATTCGTTCTATCCTGGGAGGAAATAATCCATAACCTTGGGTACTAGGAGGGGATTAAATTCCTTAAGGAAACACTGTGAATTCAGTAGGCTCGAATTGGTTTTATGTCATTTCTGTTTATGTTCATTTCTGTTTATATTCATTTATATTTCCAGAATTATTTTACAAATACAGTTTACTAACAAGCTTAAGGAATTTAATATATTTTCTGTATTTGTACTTACTGTTTCTGGAAGAGTAAAACCTTTGTGGTTTTGTACTCTATTAAAATCTACGTGATTTTAACGTTTGTGTCATTCTTTTACAGAAATGACTAATGAAAATAAGAACCAAGCTGTTCCAATGGTGACTGCTAATGCCTCAACAAGCCGAACGACACCGGCAGCATTGGCACCGGCGGAGAAACCCGGAAAATTTTCCGGGATTGATTTCAAGCGCTGGCAGCAAAAGATGTTCTTCTATTTGACTACTCTAAGTCTCCAGAAGTTCATCAAGGAAGATGTTCCTGTGCTGTCCGACGAAACTCCAGAAACTGAACGCTTTCTCGTGATTGAGGCGTGGAAGCATTCAGATTTTTTGTGCGAGAATTATATTCTAAGCGGGCTGGAGGATGCTTTGTATAACGTCTACAGTGGCGTGGAAACGTCAAAGGAACTGTGGACTGCGCTTGAAAAGAAATACAAAACCGAAGATGCCGGGTTGAAAAAGTTTGTTGCTGCAAAGTTTTTGGACTACAAAATGGTAGATAGCAAGTCTGTTATTACCCAAGTCCAGGAATTGCAAGTGATTATTCACGATCTCCTTGCTGAAGGTATAACTCAAATTAATATTGATGTTGAAAGTAGTAATCTTGGTATTTTTACTAATAGAAATTTCATTGAAGGTCTTGTTATCAATGAAGCATTTCAAGTAGCAGCGATGATTGAGAAGTTGCCTCCTTTGTGGAAGGACTTCAAAAACTACTTGAAACACAAACGCAAGGAGATGTCCCTTGAAGATCTCATTGTTCGGTTGAGAATCGAAGAGGACAACAAAGCTGCTGAAAAGAGAGGCCGTGGAAACTCAACAATAATGGGAGCAAATATTGTTGAAGAGAATAAAAAGAGGAAGAAGGCTTCTGGACCGAAATACAACCCAAGCAAGAAACGGTTCAGTGGAAACTGCAACAACTGTGGAAAAACTGGACACAAATCTACGGAGTGTCGTGCTCCAAAGAAAGACAAGAAGAAGGGTCAAGCAAACATGGTTGAAAAGTGTGATGATGTTGATGATTTATGTGCCATGCTTTCCGAATGCAACTTGGTGGGCAATCCTAAAGAGTGGTGGATTGATTCTGGAGCCACTCGCCATGTTTGTGCTGTTAGAGAAGCTTTTGCTTCTTATGCTCCTGTTGGACCCGATGAGACGATTTCTATGGGAAATGCTTCAAAGGCGAAGATTGAAGGATGTGGGAAGATATTTCTCAAAATGACTTCCGGCAAAGTGGTGACTTTGAACAACGTCCTTCATGTTCCCGAGATTAGGAAGAATTTAGTCTCTACTGGACTTCTTGTTAAGAATGGTTTTAAATGTGTTTTTGTTTCCGATAAGGTTGTAATAAGTAAGAATGAAATGTTTGTAGGAAAAGGTTACCTCACTGAGGGCCTTTTCAAGCTGAATGTAATGGTTGTTGAAAATAATAATAAAATTTCAGCTTCGTCTTACTTACTTGAGTCAAATGAATTATGGCATATACGTTTGGGTCATGTCAATTATAAAACCTTACGGAAAATGATTAATTTGGAAGTATTGCCCAAGTTTGAATGTGACAAATGATCAAAATGTCAAGTATGTGTGGAATCTAAGTATGTAAACATCTTATAAGTCGGTTGAAAGGAATTCAAATCCTTTAGACTTATTCACAGCAGATATTTGTGATATGAAGTCATCATCTCGCGGGTGGAAAAAGTATTTCATAACTTTTTATTGACGATAGTACTCGATATTTGCTATGTTTACTTACTTAATAGTAAAGATGAAGCAATATGACGCATTCAAAGCAATAACAAAATGAAGTTGAAACGCAACTTAATAAGAAAATCAAAATGATAAGAGAGTGATAGGGGTGGTGGAACTATGAAACTCCTTTTGAACAAATATGTTTAGAATATGGAATTATTCATCAAACAACGGCCCCTTACACGCCCCAATCTAATGGGATTGCAGAAAGAAAGAATCGTTCATTAAAGGAGATGATGAACGCATTATTGACAAGTTCTGGTTTGCCACAGAACTTGTGGGGGGAAGCCAGTTCTTACGGCTAGCCGAATACTAAATCGAGTCCCATACAAACATAATCCATTCCATATGAATAATAAAAAGGAAGGAAGCCCAACTTGAATTATTTTAAAGTGTGGGGTGTTTGGCAAAAGTGCAAGTTCCTAACCCCAAAGGGGTAAAAATAGGACCGAAAACCGTTGAATTGTGTTTTTAATAGGAATATGCGACTAATAGTAAAAGCATATCGATTTCTGGTTCAATAAAATCAGAAAATCCTGACATTCATAATAATGCGGGTTATAGAATCAGATAATGCTGAGTTCATTGAAAATAT